CAGAGTGACCTGCAAGACCAATTGTGTCAGACCAGTGATACACGAACCCATTTTCATCATACTGTATTGATTACATGCGGAGCACCTCTCTCCTGACTTCAAACGCCGCCCAAACATGTCCTGTCCTTCGCCCAAAGTCAGTCATCAAACCGGCCTATATGCATGTTGCTGTGTCGCGTCTCCCACTATTGGCGACGCCTGCATCTATTCAATACGGCAAGTCGGGGAGCCAATCATGCACCCCTGCATAATACAAAAAAAGCTTAATATGTTGAAGCGCATGGATGGCTGCAGTATGTTTTCGCGCTCCGGCGACCCTCGGATTTACACCTCTAGTGGGTCGGGGGGATTTACGCATAATTGCGCAATCTTGAGTTTGTTTGCACGAGTAGGACAAGCGCTTGCGGTGGTTATTGACAATGGTAGGGTGCTTTTGGGGCCTATTTTACCGTGTGCCTGGTCGCGGGAGAAGACGGGCGATTGTGCGGCCGCGTATGAGTCCTTACCTTGTGGGTATTGAGGAGTAAGCCAGGCCACTCGAAACTGGTAAATAACACCTGAGATTGCAGTCACTTGAGAATGGGTTTAATCGCCCGTCGGAAGATATGATTACAGCGACCCGGAGAACTTCGGACATGCGAGGCATTGATCGTATGCATCGCGAACCCGATACATACTACGACGCATGCCTCCTAGGATACCTGCTGCCTCTTGGTGACATCGATAGCAGCTTACTCCCTCTGAGCGGGGACGGAATGCTACTAGCTCGTCTGGCTGCAAGGCATTTCCTCCAGACAATTTGTATAAAATCTCAGTCATTTTCCCGTTTGGTGCTACTGCCTGAACAGTCGAAGAGCGCCGCAAGGATTCGGGTCAATTTCAGAACTGACAAATGCGGGTCAAACTACATGATGCGTGCTCTTTTGCGGTCCTGGAGCGCCGTGCGGCTGTTGCTTGGGCTGGTACCCTCTCCGCAGCCCCGATATCTTCTGGAACTCGGACGCTGGGGCCCCGCACAACTGCCCGGCGGCGACTGTGATTGGTGGTGTTGCTGGTGCTGGTAAGGAGCAGTGAGGGCGCCTCCTCCCGCGCTCACTTTCGCTGCGGCCTTGGCGCACGAAGCAAGCTTTGCAGCCAGCGGAATTCTGGTTCCTTCTTTCCTATTTCGGTGTGCCCACCCACGGGTGCCTATAAATCCCTCCCTCACATTTTCCCCCTTTCTCCTCTTCCCTCCTCTCTCTCCAGCAACGCACCAGAATCCCCATTCCCTCCGACCTTCACAGATTCCCACAGCCACACAAACCGTTTCTCCCCTCACGAAAATCAAACCATATCCAATATGCCTCCAAAAAAGTCTGACGCCAAACCTCCTGCTAAGGAAAGCAAGAAGCCCGCTACCGACAAGAAGCCAGAGCCGAAGAAGCCTGGTCCTGCCGCACCTGCAGAGAAGAAGGGTTCTGAGGGGTCCAAACCTGCTGCTGGAAAGAAGGGCGGAAAGTAACATTTTCCAATGAGAAATGGTGACAACTATAGGTTGTGAAGTGAGTCGTCATCCTGGTTTTATGTGAATGTGTGCTAATTAGGTCGAGGACAGTGCCGCTGGTGGGCAAGATGATGAAAAGGCCGATTGGATCCTAAATTCGACAATGACTCCCTCCTCAGGTCTCACAGTGCCAACAAGATCTTTTCCAAAGAGTCGATCGGGTTTCAGATTTCATACTACCATATTGATTCATGTTTGCCGGATCCTTCGTCTAAGTTTCTCAATTCCTTTGTCATTTTTCATTTGGGGCTGGATGCCGGACTGTTGTTTTTCTTTTTTTTCCTGTATCTGCTGCTTAATTACGGGGTTTCGTAAAAGCTTGTTGTGACTTGAGATCAGGTCGGGTAGGCTGGGATGGGACATTCGGGAGAATCATGTATCGTTACCGGATTCTTGAACCTTGATGGCTTAGACTTGCAATGATACAAATGTGTTGCTTTGATGTACTTGAGTATCGTTCTGCTTCGTGCTTGTTTCCATGCGATGATAGTGATCAGTGTGCATCGTGCTTCATTCGCTGACGACTAAAGGTTTTCACAACATCGATCTTCCGTCGCTTTTCCTCTTCCCGCCATTGCCCGCTTCCGCATTGCCCCACTCTCAGTTCTTTACCCAGCTTATACCTCATACCTCCTATCCGCTAGTTTATTTCTCGACCCACTTCATCATCTCCCATTCTCCTCTCCTCCACTGAACCTCGCTTACTAACCCTAATGGACCCCCCCCCCCCAAATCTGGAACATTGCAAACCATAAGAGTGACAATTTTTGGGCACATCATCCAGTCCAGGGCCTTTGGAAATATGTCAAATAGTTCGGAGATGAGAACACCCTGCTAATACCATGTGTTAGGAGTTTTCGAAGAAAATGATTTAGCTGCTCATACATCGACCATAGGTACTATCCACCTGGAGCATTCGACGGAGAGGGAGAAGCTTTGGAGAGGCAGCGTGCGCACCTACCCAACCATTCGGAGTGCTGTCAATGAATGGGACAATCGGAGCGGAAAGCAAGTGCTAATCCCGAGTTGCAGCAACACGCTGAAGAGCATGGGGGGAGTATTCACCGTATGGATTGTGGTTTTTGAGCTGTTGATAGGGTATACTTGATTGTCACATCTCGGTACCCCCAAGCTGACCTCCGCATTCATGAGATCGTCGTTTTCTGGGTTGGGCTTATTTTTGTGCGTAGGGCATCATTACTTGACACTTCCTTATACCCCCGCAACTCCGCATTCATCCGATCGGTTATGCAATGAAAGGCTCTAAAATCATTATTATGAATTAACCTCCGACACACAAACCTTGCATTCACAATCCAGAAGGTTTAGTATTTACCGGGCATCAAGAAATTATAATAATAAGATGCTATCCAGTATAAAGAGCAAGTTTTGTTGCCCCTATTTCGCCTAATATTGCCTGGGATTATGATATCTTTCTTCTCGGCTAGTCTTGTAAATGATGGAGTGGATGCTAGAGTATATATAAAACTTACAATATATAAGTTATCGATAGGAGGTCAGTTAGGTATCGTTGGTGTGTGTTTTGCGATGATAATGCTAATATATATTTGTGGTCAAGCGGAAGGTACCTAAAACTCGATGCTCTCAAAAAGAATCCTTAGATTCTCCGCAAACTTATTCCGGAGTCAGGATGAACTCATCGCCTACAACGTTGGTTGAGAAGTCGGCTGCTGGCGATTGTCAAAGACGACAAAGCGTTCTACAAGTACACATATTACATCCCGGCAGCATGCGAAAATACGCCTATAGCACCAGCAGTGGCAAAGGAAGCTATCAAAAATATTAAGGAGGAATCGGAGGTAGCCGAAGGGATGGTGTTAGTGGTAGTATGCGAGAAGGCAGGAGGGGCAGGGTAAATCGGAGCTTTCAATTCAGAACGCGAAGGGGGTGCAATGAAGGTGAGATGAAGTGGGGAAGCGATCAAAATGTCAATGTATGGTTTACGTGTTGAAGATTTATAGTCACATGCTAACCCATCCTTTCGGAGGTTAACAATCATGTAATTACCTTACGGGCAAGAGTGGTGCTGTTTTACCACCAACCCATGTCTCACATTTTTTTGTCCCCGGAATGATGCTCATTAAGCTTCTTCATAAAAAGTTATCTTCCTATTAATACAATGCGGATTTTGCAAAGTCCGGTTAACTCATAATTGGTTATTTTCCGGTTATTATTAATCAATGTTACTGTAGCAACGTGTTGTTTGTGGCTGAGTTAACCAAATTTCTGGCAATTTTCCGGTTATATAACCGAATAAATTCGGTTAAACACAAAGTGTGGGTAAGGACTTTACATCATCACCAAAGTATCTTGATATTTTTTACTCGCTCAAATGTCTTCTCAAACCCCTTCTCTATCACCTGCGCCTACAATTTTAGCATCCCGTGGGCGTGGTCGTGCAACATCGTCCTTACCGCAAACTCAATCTCCGGCACCTCAAACCCAATCACCAGCACCTGCTGACAACTTACGTACTCGACTCAATGATGAAGAAAAGCTTCATCTAGTCCGCTTATGCATTGAATACCAAGTGGAGCATGTCAAAGGCAAGAAAGGAGCTTTTTGGCAAAAAATCAGAATGTTACTGAAAGAACAAATTGGGAAGGACCTCCGAGATCCTCATAGTACAATGAGAATCTTGCTTCAACAGTTTGAAGTACAAAGGCTGCCGCAGATGCGACAGCTAAATTGGTCTTGCGGCGCGAGGTTATCACCATAGGTCGAATATGCGTGCGGTATGCATGGAATATGCGTGCAGTTATGCGTGGAAAATAACCCAAAAAATAACCGCAGAAATAACCTAGGTACGTTGCAAAATCTGGGCCGTTTTTTGGTTGGGTTATCATGACTAATGGTTACCCGGAAAATAACCGAATTTCAATAACCGGACTTTGCAAAATCCGCCTAATTAGATGTTTGCGGGCCCCGCTCCTGTTGGCGGGTAAAGAATCTGATAAACAGCCTTGGCATCCTAGTATTGGTCTCGTATCAGATTCCTTAGCTTACTCCAAAAAGTGCAGAACATCCCTAACTCGCCTTGCTGGGTTTTCTTACGTCATTTCCGCTTGGAGTCTTGCTCCAAATTACACCGCGACCAGAAGTGAGTGAGGTGGATGATTGCTTCGAAACCTGATTTTCCTACTCACTGACAGTTTCCTCATGAATAATAACATTGATACCGTTAGTAATCTTGGCGCGGCACGCGGATGGACTATCGAACCCAGACATTATAATGATAATCTAATTGTGCCGTTCGGAACATTGAAGGATATATAAGCGGCAGGTTCCTGTACGCACTGTAGTTTCTGATCAAGCAATCAAACCCATTGTCTATTCTCCGCTCGAAAGTGTCCTATTATTTACAGATGTTATTTGAAACATATTTGACCTCACACCTATATAGATAGGTGCATATTTTGAAGAATTGTTTCCATCCGCCCGATTAGCTCAGTGGTTTAGAGCGTGTGGCTTTTATCTGCGAACGTCGGTTCCCAACCCCAGGGCGTAGTAAAGGCACCTCAAGGTCGCGAGTTCGACCCTCGCATCGGGCTTCCATCTTTTGCACTGCTTTCCTTTCTTACGCGTGTAGGGGAGTGCGCCAAAGAACTCTGGTTTGTGGGTGTTGATGATGTTTCCGATAAGAATGTGATATGACGTGCGGCTCTGTGAGGCCCTTGTAATTGACAGGGTACTGGTAATTGTTGTATTGGAAATACTAGCACATGACTACCATTTAATGTCACTTGAGGGAGTTGTAATTCATATTGAGCGACCGGCGGCGTAAATGAGTGCGGGGAGCTAAATGTGATATAGATCCTGGTATATTGTACACAACTACGTTCTAGCGGCATACGTAAATGGCATTCCATTTTGTCTACTCTGGGTAAAAGTCCATAGCGAAACAAGACAGTAACAACAAAATTTATGTACATAGGATGGGAGGTAAGAGGAGGGTACGGGGAAGTAAGGAAAGGAGGTTGAGTGCGAGACGAGTTTGAAGCAGGTAGGCATAGATGGATGCAGGGCGGCGGCTTGTATACTATGTGCTGAATTGCTTTGGAGTTTGAGGCATTATGGATAGAGGGGTTGAGAGGATTAGGATATACGGTAGGTACTTGTATAAGTAGGAAGGGAAGTGGTCAGGGGTTGCGGAGGGGTCAGCATGGGCTGTGCTTAACTTATTCACGGCGCAAGCGACAATTATGACGTAGAGATAAAATACATCATTAATTGGAGTATCATATTAAATTGTCACCGGGTGTCATCCGCCGCTGTCGGACATTATGGCAACCAGACACCAACGATTACTCGAGGTAGTTAGTGGGGGATTTTACAGTATATTGCTAGACTTCGCGGGTGCAATTTTCACGATGGGGGTATGATATAAAGATGGGACCAAAGGGTGCGGAGGAATTAGTACTATATAGTGGTATTTATCCGGCAAGCGGAAAGTCACGAAACGTCGAGAGGGAGAAAGAGCGGTAGCGGGATATACGCAGGCGAGGAGGGAAATACACATTAGCGTAACGAGAACTCGGGCAGTTGTTTCAAGTTAGAGAGGTAGTGTGAACATGGAAATTGGGACATTGGTTGCCATGGAGGTGTGTACGTACCACCCGCAACCGAACACTCAGTTACACGAAGTGAGTATTTTAGATTCTTGCATTTGGAAGTTGTTTCCGGTAGTTCGATGGGGAAGCATTGCTCACTCTACCGAAGGGATCTCCTCCGGAATCTAAATTTTCTTCCTTTCCTGCCCTCAATTAATACAAAAAATTACATGCAGTCCTTGCACATTGGGTCCTTTATATCTAGTCCTCCTGGAAGACAATGAAAATCATAACGGTCTTTTAAAATCATGGGCGGGAGGAGGTAGGGTGGAGATAAAAAAAGAAAGCCCGATGCGAGGCTCGAACTCGCGACCTTGAGATTCCTTCACAACCCCCCGAGAGAGATGCTTAAGAGTCACACGCTCTACCGACTGAGCCAACCGGGCTTTTGTTGGGTGGTAAAGCACAATTGATATTATATTACACCATGGCAGGGGATAACAAGTATATTTCGCCGTAATGGGACCATCCGCGCTTGTTAGTGCAGACCCATTCTCTTCAATCTATCTTTTTTAATTTACTCGAGTAATCCTGCATAATCAACGACTTGAGTCTGGAATATTGTGGTGACTACTCTGGAAGTGTTATCTCCCTATCTTCATGGCCTGTGTCTACGATTGGTCTATCTTTCTCATAATCTCATGGCGTAAAATACGACCTGATGCGGTCCGAGAGCCAGTGTTCCCAACCGGCCAGGCCTGGGGCGGCCCCGGCGGAGGTTTTGATGGCCTAGGCGGGCCTGAAACATGCAGGCCGATTCAGGCAGACCAGTTCGCGCAAATACTATTTGCGAGTACTAATAGCATCACCAGTTTAAGCGTGTGTACTGAGGGAGTTATTTCTTTAGAGAGTTCAATTCACTATGCTCTCTGTTTTTCACTGTGTTCTGTATTCTGTACTCTGTATTCTGTGTTCTCGTTCTGATCATCTATCTAGAGGTGGGGGCCTTCCGATTCAAACTCACACATCCTGACATAGCAGAATACACTATATTCTCCTTCCACATTTCGTAGTCAATATCTGCTCAATTCCACTTTCTTAGTTTCGCACCTACAGTACGTAAACTCTGTGAAACTGTCCAAAGGTTATCATGTCAACTTTACATGTATTAGCACAGTTGCACGATGACAATGGAAATAACTCAAATTCAGTCAATCATTACGTATATTACATGGTCAATAGATACAGATATGTTGCCAAGGCGGTGCTTCAGCTGCTAATTTGTTGTAGTTTCCCGTAGATGTACGCTGATTTGATGCTCAAAGGCCAAATTTCAGTTACTGATTGGGTGATGCTATTCAGGCCGTAATTTTTTAGTATCTTAACCCGACAAATATCCATGCGCAGGATTGCCACCGCGCCCACGGTTGGGACCTCGAACATACCACATGCCGACGGCACCCCCGCCGGTACCCCCACCCCACCCAAACCATCGAACCCCAAGCCTCACATATTGTCTCAATGTAGAGTCTGGAAGCAGAGATGCCCAAGGGGTGAGGATGGATTGTGCAGACCCTTGGGTGACCAAGATGAAGGGGAGGGCCTTCGGGGAGTGATAGGAATTTTGGAATGGGCGAGGGGTTAGCCCCGGGGGATTTACTTCTATTGTTCCGTACTTGTACTTTGTTTTGATGTAACTAGACCTCGCCATAGCCCATAGGGCGGCACGCGAGTATTGATATAAAAAAAAAAAAAAAAAAAGCCCACCCGGGCTCCACGCCCACCACCCAAAAACCCAGAACTCCCCCCTACCCAAGCCCTCCCACCCACCAACCACCCCCGATGCCACCGCCACTTCAAAAGCCGGCATCGTTGTACACGGAATAGCCCTGAGGAAGGACTTAGGGAAGGTCCGAAAATGGTTGGAGGCAGCTAACAAGGATTTAGGGAAGGCCACCGGGATCCGTTAGCTGAGGAAGAAAGACACACTGGTCGACGAGGGGAAAAAGACAAGCTCAGCGGTAGTCTACTTGGAGAAAACTACCGAGGTTGGGAGAGTGAGGCTCGGAGGGCAATGGCTGAGAGTGGACCAGTATGAATAGGACAGAGGACGGAAGTAGGAAGACAAGGTCCCCGAACATGCTAGCTTTTGGCACTACCCATACTACCAGCGAGAGCCGTGGGTCTCACAAGGTTAATTAGTTGATTTCTTTCTTATTTCTTATGTATCTAAACCTCGCCATAGCCCACAGGGCGGCATGCGAGTCATGAAAAAAAAAAAAAAAAAAAAAAAAAAAATATCCATGCGCAGGGACTGCGGTCACATACCCGTTTTCAACACCTATTATTCTTTCAAATTGGGATCACATAATCACATATCGCGTGCATCTATTTCACCACTTATTATTCTTTCCGCGTGTGTTTATTTCGTGATCTATTATTCATTCAGATTGACGTCACATATCGTGTGAACGCGTGTTTATTTCAGCACGTCTTATTCTTTTCAGTTGTATTTATTTCGCTGTCCATTATTCTTAATTTCTTACTGATACCGCATATATTTATTTCACCACTACAGTATGATTCTCTTTTTTCGTATTAAGTCTATCCCCGGGCCAGTAGCACTGTGCAATAGCGGATAACCATAAATTGGGTTATGTGATACAAAAATAAAATAAAATAAAATAAAATAAAATAAAATAAAATAAAATAAAATAAAATAAAAACAAATTAAAAAACCTGTCAAGCTAGTTGATTGCAATCAACCATTTCGTATAGATACTGAGAAAACCAAACCAAAGAGTTCTCTATGCTCCCCAATGCACAAATGGCGCCCAATAGTACGGCGCTTGCCAGTATTCGTTCTGATTCCTGACATCCTCCACTGCTAAATGAAGAGCGTCCGCGCACCCAAGCTTCCTACCAGTTCCTTTACCCTTCTCGTTCATTTTATCAATTTCAAACAAGTACTTATAAAAGCTAATTGCTACCTTGATACATACCCCATCCTGGCTATTCCAAAGCGTACCAACAACATTGTTAAATCCAGCGGCTTGGAAGACCCCTGCAATATGAAGTGACTCATCATCGAGCCCATCACACCGGTTAGAGGCAGATGAGCATGCCGAAAGGTAGGCTAAACGCCCCAAGCTTGAACCAGTGGTATTATGCGCAACCCTAACTTTCATGATGTCTGCAAGCGTCAGTTCGTCACGGATAAACGTCTTTTCTTCAATATCTGTAGGCCGCTGCAAGACTAGACAACTTTTTGAGGGGTTTTCGCTGTCCACGAGGCCATGACAGGCAAGGTGGACAATGTTGTGATAAGCGAGTGAGCATAGTACCATGGCAGGTTCTGGTGAGTCTAAAAGCGTGCAAGGAACTTCGGCAGTTTTAAAACTTTGGGTGATGTTATCAGCTTCTGTTGCAACGTCTAGCTCTGCAAACATAATCCCGTGGGTTCGGTAGGAAGGAGTGTCATCAAGCTTGTGATGAGAATCCGAGGCTGCTTCGGCATGATCTGAAGGCGTACGTGGCATGGTAACTACCAGAGCTCTGTTTTGATGAAGTTGTGCATCCGGCTCCAGATTAATATGTTGTTGCGCGTACGCAAGCGCTCTGATAGTTGGAGTATAGGATGAGACGCAATATTTAGCCGTATATCGTGCAGCTGCACGATTGTTTCGAGGGTATATTCCAGCAGCATGAAATGGTGCTTGAGCTATACACCCTACCCCAATCCACCAAACTCTCGGGAGCTTTGACACAGCTTCAATCCCCGTTGACTGTCGGCTCGGTCGCTTACGTGGAGATCGAATAGGCTCCCGAACAGGAAGTCCCAAGTGTAGAAGTACTGGTTCCGTGACGGTACGCCATAGCCACTCCAACAACTCGCGGGTGCTTTTGTGTGCTGTTATCACATCTGCAGAGGTTGTTGACTTCAGTGCCGCCATCTTCGTCTTTGCTTCAGGCTCACTAAGACCCTCTAGCCAAATGAATTCAACGTCATTGCTAGTCACAATAATTGCATGTCCTTTCTCGCATGCGCTAACAATGATGATGGAACCATCCTTGGCAGCATTCATTGCGAATTGTTTCCCTTTAATCTTGAGAGTTAGCAGCATGTTTGACGACCTGATTCCCACATTTTTCTTACCCTCATAATCAGTGGACATGAAATTTTCAAATCCATTCAGATTTCGTATCTCCTTTAGTAACTCATGTAGTCGTTGTGCATCTCGATCTCGCCTTGCAAGCTGAACTACGTTCTGCATAGCTTCTTCAAGAGTTATGCCATGCGAAGCAGAAGGTATTGAATCCGAGAATGTCTTGTCAAGTCTCTCAACCAATTCTCTGACTTCCCGCCCCAACTGCGGGTGTGACGCTGTTAACGGCCCCAAATCGCTTCGGTACTGAATGATGTTGTTTGTAACGCTCCCTCTCGCCATTTCCAAAAATCTTAGCGCCTCTGCCGCAGCCTCATTCGTTGTTGTTTCCAGTAGATACGCAGATGACTGTGTCAAGAGATGGACTAAATGATGAGATCCCCACGCCCTCCCTGTCCGCCCCTCCAAGCTGGAACCTACATGGAAAAAAACTGGTAACAGTTTTAGTAACAAGTTGAGTGCACGCCGGTACTCAGGTTGCCATTCGCTCGAGATCTTGCCTTCCCGCATAAGGCGCAGTAATTTCAAAGCAAACCAGATATCAAACTCATCCTCTAGACGGCTGAGGTCTTCTGAATAAACATCTCTTGCTGTTCCTTCCTTCAGTGGAGCAGATGCCAGCGTGTAAATACCATCGAAAGGTAATTTCCCACCCAGTATCACGTCTAAGAGTTGCAGCGCTAGGGATGCTTCTTCGGTCTCTACGGTTTCCGCACATAAAATGGCGATAAGGAAAACGAATCCTTCGGAAGCGTTCTGCATGTTTATCCTCCTAACACCCATCTTGACGTCCACTATCCAATGCATGAGTGCTACCCAGGTTTCCGGCATTTGGGAGGTACAAACTATGCTCTTGAGCTGCAAACCAAAGTCTATCAGAGTCTCGTCAATCTTGACCGCCACGGCACACAAAAGGATGACCAGGAGGTTTAGCGCTTCGGGGAGCTCCTGTGTGTTTTCACTTGCGTTTTCACTTGCGTTTTCGCTTGCGTTTTCACTTGCGTTTTTGCTTGCGTTTTCACTTGCGTCTTCACTTGCGTTTTCACTGGCGTCCTCAATCATGCTGTCCAACAGCGTGTGCATGAGCGCTACCCAGCTTTTGAACATTGTCGAAGTAGGAGCTATCGCCCGGAATTCCTGAACAAATTCGCGACAGGCTTCGGGGATTGGCTTTCTTGTGCGTGCAGAAGTGGCCTCATAGGTTGGTATAACGGCATCATGGTAGTGCCTACCTAGTCGATTGATGCCTAGCCATGCTCCCGACAGAAATGCGTCGTCCA